TCCCACTTCTCCCCTTTCCCCTTCTGTTTCTCTCTCTCTCTCTCTCTCTCTCTCTCTCTCTCTCTCTCTCTCTCTCTCTCTCTCCTCTTCCCCTCCACCTGCCCTGCCCACCCCCATGGCCAGGTTTAGTCTGGACTCTTCCAGATGCCTCTGGCCGTTCCCTCCCTCAAGTCTACAGCACAGTCCTTCCCCTCAACCATACCTTCCAGCAGCCACATTCTCATCTTCTTCTACCAAGGTAGTGGAAGCTACTCATCTTGTGAGACAGGAAGTGGGTAAGAGGAAGAGGAAGTGACTGGTTCCCACAATCTTCTTCAAGAGCATGCTCCCAGTGACCTAATGACCTTTCTCTTAAAGGTTCCACCATCTTCCAACACCACCACCAGGAATCAAGCCTTTAAAACACATCTGTGTTTGAGGGATGATCGTCCGAGCCATAGAATTCCACTAGGACCTCTGCCTCATGATAAAATAGGTATTCATTTAAACTCCTTAGATCTCCAACCCCAGTGGCAGAGGAGCCTTGCTGGTGGGAGAAAAAAAGCCCACCAGACCTTTAGATCTCTGTCTCCAGTCAGACGGATGAAAAGAAACTGGAAATTCCCCATCTTTTTATTTATTTGTGGCCCCTCTTCTTATCTCTCTGCCTATCAGGGATCTTAGGCCTCATCCCTCAGCTACAGATGCAGTTCGGTTGGCAGAGTGTTGATGGAGCAGGCACAGGCCGTGGGCTCCATCCTCAGAATCACATGAACAGGGTGGGCAGTGCATGTCTGGAATCCCATCATTGGGGAGGTAGGCGCAGGGCTACCAGAAGTTCAAAGTCATCCTCAGCTTCACAAATGAGTTTGAGGCCAGGCTAGGTTATATCAGGTCCTCAAAAAGAAACGAGAAATTCAGTGTAGAACCACAGGATCAAAACAGGTCCAAGGGTTGCCTCCTGGGCAGCTGGAATGACTTCAGGTTATTCACGGCAAGAAAAAAAAAAAAAAACAGAGGGGGGCACCCCCAGTCTCATCAGTGTAGCACAGCTGGTGGGAAGAGAGGGGGACTCCTTTCAGTGCTGAGGAAGATGCTGGCACTGAAGGTGCAATCTCTGATCGCCTGCCTGTTGTGGTTCCATCTGACCAGTCATCCTGGGAGGCAGACACGGTTCACTTCCCTTGAGAAGGCGGCTGCAGCTCAAGCAGGCATGGGTTGATGTGCCAGCCCGCATCCTGTTCCTTGGAGGAGCATGGGCACAGACGTAGACTCCAGGCGTCCCTCTAAGAAATCTGGAGCAGGATGTTTTGGAATGTTCCAGAAAATCTTTCAAACCCTTAGCTATTCATCTCAGTGTACTGAACCTCAGAGCGGAGGATTACAGGATGAACGCTACCTGAATGATTAACACGTAGAGATGAGTTGGAACTTGTTCCAAGCTTTAAGGCAGAAGAAACAAGTACAAAATGAAGGCAGAGGTGCAAAGTCTTATTGTGCTTTTAGTTACCCCCTGGACATCAGCAGGCCCAAGGGAAAGGTCAGTATTCTTAGCTAATGCAGCCACTTTGTCCTTATCATAACCCCAGAAAGAACAGCTATTGTCAAAATGATTATAACGCATGCCGGTAAGGATGCAGAATCAAAAGAATTTGCAAACACTGGGGTGGGGATGCTCAAACCTACTATGGAAAGCAATATGGGGGATTCTTAAAAAATGAAAAGAAGACGACCATATGATCCAGTAATCTCACTACTACATCCAAAAGAAGCAGGGCAGTGGTGGCGCATGCCTTTAATCCCAGCAGAGGCAGGGGGATCTCTGGGAGTTCAAGGCCAGCCTGGTCTACAAAGGGAGTTCCAGGACAGGCTCCAAAGCTACAGAGAAACCCTGTCTCGAAAAACCAAAAAAAAAAAAAAAAAAAGAAAAGAAAACATT